AATAAAAATGAAGTGTGAAAGATCAAAAACACTAACAGAAATGAAGAATGCCTTTGATGGGCTCTTTGGTAGACTGACCCCAGCTAAGGAAAGAATCTCTGAGTATGAGTGAGGATATGATAATATAAACTTCCCAACCTGAAAAACAAAGAAAAAAAAGACTTAAAAAAAATAACAGAATATCCAAGAACTGTGGATCAACTACAAAAAGTATAAACATGAGTAATGGGAATACCATAAGGAGAAAAAGAGAGAAAGAAAAATAAGCTCTATTTGAAGCAATAATGACTGAGAATTTCCCCAAATTAATGTCAGACACCATATCACAGATCAGGAAGGTCAGAAAACACCAAGCAAGACAAATGCCAAAAAAACTACAATGAGGCATATCATATTTGAACATCAGAAAATAAAGATAAAGAAAAAAACCCTGAAAGAAACCAGAGGGGGAAGAAACCTTACCTACAGAGGAACAAAGATCAGAATTATATCTAACTTCTCCTCAGAAACCATGCAAACAAGAAGAGAGTGGAGTGAAATTATTTTCTCTTTTGAGAAAATAAAACCACCAACCTATATCCTGCAAAATTATCCTTTAAAAGTGAAGGAGAAATAAAGTCAAACAAAAATTGAAGGATTTTGTTGCCAGTAGATCTGCCTTGCAAGAAATGTTAAAAGAAGTTCTTCAGAGAGAAGAGAAATGATAAAGGTCAGAAACGCAGATCTACATAAAGAAAGGAAGAGCATCAGAGAAGGAATAAGTGAAGATAAAATAAAAACCTTTATTTTTCTTATTCTTAATTTATCTTAAGTTTGTTGAAATAGCAGCAACAATGTATTTGATTACGTACGCGTGTGTGTGTGTGTGTGTGTGTGTGTATACATGCTTATGTATGCTTATGTATAGTAAAATGAATGACAATGATACAATGGATGAGAAGGAAGATGGAAGATTTAGGACCATTTTGTTATGATAAGGTACTTGCACTACCTGTGAAGTGGTATAGGGTTATTTGACAGTAGACTTGGATAAGTTGTAATGTGTATGCAAATTCTAGGCCAATCACTAAATAAAGTAAAAAGAGAAATATAATT